GCTCCAGGGCTTGGGGGGGGCTACACACACAGCTCCAATACATCTCCTGGCCTGTCCTACCTCAATCAGTGAACCCCCACTCCATAGTCATGAAGGACAGTCACTCACCCGACAAATATTTCTTGAGGTTCCGCAGCGTGCGGACTCTCCAGGCAATGTGAGTAGGACACGCGGCCAGCTCACAGGGCGGGAACGAGTGGAGGGGACAGTGACACACTGTGAACACTGCTGATTTAGTGGCACAAATGGGGCACCCTGGGCACCCAGGAAGGGACACCGTCTGCCTGGAGAGTTGAGGAAGGCTTCCTTAGGAGGCAACATTTAGGTGGGATTGAAGAAAAGAGGTTGTTGCGAAGAGAAGCACTCCAGACGGAGGAACCGCATCGTCAAAGGTTGGCCTCCATCCAGCTACCACCCGGGCCTTTGAGTGGCAGGTGAACTCCTTCCCCCATCTCCAGCTTTCTGTCAGCCAGCCAGCCCTTCTACCCCTCCCTGCCTTGCTTCTCCCCTGGGATGGGCCCGCAGCGGGGGAGTGAATCTCCCAGAAGGGGGCGCCAAAGGGCAGGTTATTGAACCAGAGATTAAGCCTCCACATCCCTGAAGGTTTGAGAGAAACAGGTAAATACTGAAGCCAAACTTCTTCCAGTTTACAGGGTGAGCCTTCATCTACCCAACATAATGGTTTCCTCGGCAAATAAGTGGTTCATCAATACACAAAAAGAAAAATGGATCACGTGTCTAAGAGGTAAAACAATTTGGCAATGCCAAGCTAGAGTCACAGAGACTTTATGGAATACCTTAGATTCAGCCGTCATTCCCCTGGGAATTTATCCCAAGAAAGTAATTAAACAGCAATAAATCTGGTAAAAAAGCAATAAGTAGGTGTTGACCACAGCAATGTCAATAGCTATATAGGGAAGATAAAAACCTAGAAACCGTGTTGGCTCAGTGTTTGAGTGCCTACCTATGAACTAGGGGGTCATGGTTTGATTCCGGTCAGGGCACATGCCTGGGTTGCAGGCTTGAACCCCAGTAGGGAGCATGCAGGAGGCAGCCAATGAATGATTCTCTCTCATCACTGATGTTTCTATCTCTCTCCCTCTCCCTTCCTCTTTGAAATCAATAAAAATATATTTTTTAAAAAACACTCTAGGAACCACCTAATTAAGGAATTTGGTGTGCCAATATGATAATAATGTATCGCTTAAAAATGAATCATTTTTGACACAAAGCTTGCTGGGGGTAGAGGTTTCATATTGTACCCCCTTTACCCTGCCTTTTTTTCAATCTGGGACAAAAACAACCCCTGCCCCCCGCCCCCCAACACACACACACTGTCCCAATACACGGTGATGATCTTCCACAGCTGTGCTATAACTAGTCTTTGCATTAATACTGTGCTGTGGACATCTGCTCACACACTGTCCATGTAGCCTGATTTTTAACGCGTGCATAGTGATCATTTACTTGCATATATCAACATCTGTTCTTTAATCCATTACCAGTAGCCACTTAAATTATGTTAGGTTCATACGATTCAAGGTTAATTCTTTCTTAACACTGACATCTCTTATTAGATTTTATTAAATATAATTTTATTAACATTTTATTATATTTGAAATACATTTAATTTTAACTAATATTACAGAAACTACAGTAAAAATTTAAGTATATCTAATATAAACACAAATATGTAAAAGCTGCAATTAAAGGGGTGAGCAGCAGGGGGAGCCCCCTCTGCCGTGGCAGCTACACACGCTGCAGCCCAGGACCGGGGACCATGGGCCTCGCAGGAGCTGAAGGGAGCTACCCACACGCAGCAGGTGGTTCTTCTGCCTCGTGAAGGTCCGTGAAAGCTGTGCCCGGAGCCCGCTCTGGCTCCGGAGAGGCCACTGGAGTCGGCGTTGCCTCCTGAGGTCTTTTTTTATCTGGCTCTGGAGCTGGTTCTGTAGATCCCAGAAGAGAACATGTTGCCACCATGACTGCCTCCATGTGCCTTCCAAAGACGGAACATCTCTCCTGTCCATCCATGGAGTCCCAGTGCCAGGGCCACCCCAGGAAGTCTTCCCAGGCTGCAGGCCATGGGGACAGTGATCAGAGCCGGCCCTGCCCCTGGCCTCTGGAAGCTCTTCTCTGTGTGGCCGGGCCCCATCTCCTCCCCACACGCCCACATCACCTCCCGGGGCCCCATCTCCTCCCCACACCCCA